CACACGTCCCTCGTTCATATAAAACCCGAATTCTATTTACAAACTTGTTCAGTATTTTCAGTAGTTTTGTACTATTAACATCGACGCACTTGTAAATATTTTCCATCTAAGTATAAAATAAAAGTAGTGAAAAGTAAAGTGAATCTTTTAATTAATTCAACGAGAGGTTCCCAACACTTGTTGCACAAACCACTCGTTTTATTTAGGGTTTCGCATCGTTATTATACCGTCTCGCAAACAAATGCATCTAGCGAATGTATTTGTGGATAAGGCGTTAACTTTTCAAACCAGAAGTCGTGTGGATTCAGCTCTCGGTGTAATCATTTTTTATATTTTATTCTAGTTTTTCTTTTGTCAATGTCAAAAGAAAAAATACCTATTTACGTGTCAAGATAAATCTGTGTTACGCTGAAACCTTTTCTAAAATATTTCTGAACATAAAAAAAATTTAAAATAATCGTAACTTTGCTAATTTTTTAACTAAATCAAATTTGGGCGTCGTTAATATACAATATACATGCATTTGTTGTTCGATCAAACGTTCGTTTGGGCACGTATCCGGATTAAGTGTTCATTATAGTATGATACTCGTATGGACATCCGTCTAAATTTCATTCACTCGAGTCGCTTACTCCTTTGATGTTACCGCTACGATTCCGCTAGTCGGCAATCGCCAGCGAACCCTCTTTGATATTCGCTAAACCGTCTATGCTGCGCCAACAAAATCCCTTTGTTGGCATTCGTTGACACGGTCTTTACGCAGCTTAATACTGATTCAGGCATTCAAAACAAAATAACTTGTTGGTGGTAAATTTAGAAAGTTGCGACATACGATGTATTCTATCTACACTACGTAAAATCATGAATAAGGGATTAAATTTTAATATTTTATGTTAAACACAATTAAAATATTATTAAAAAAAGTACTTATACATAAATCAATTGTCACACCTGTATACAAATCCGGAGACCCTAGTAAGCTTACAAATTATAGGCCAATTTCTGTTATCAACAACCTCGCTAAAATTTTTGAAAATGCAGTAAAAAGTAGATTAATTAATTTTTTTTCATAATCATGTTATTACAGATTGTCAATACGGTTTTATACAAAACTCAAACACTGAAAATGCGGTAGTTGATTTTTTGAAAAAGACGGTTAGCGCAATAGATGAATCATTAAAATGTGCTGCAGTATTTCTTGATTTGGCCAAAGCATTTTCCCATAACATTTTACTTCACAAACTAAATAACTATGGCATACGGGGTTTAGCATTAAGGCTCCTGAGGGATTATTTATCTAATAGAACCCAGAGCGTAAAAATTGGCAATGCCGGAAGTTCTAAATCAGTAGTAAAGATGGGGGTCTCACAAGGAACAGTATTGGGCCCAATTCTGTTTCTGGTCTATATGAACAACATTACACAAATTAATAACTTATCTGGGAATATCATATGCTATGCGGATGATACTGTAATTATTTAAACTCACTGGAAAGATAAGTTTATGGTTAAATAACAATCTACTAACTTTAAATGTTTTGAAAACAAAATGCATTACTTTTAGTTCAACCATCGTTAACCAACAGCTTTTGTATAAAATTGCATAGTAGTGACTCTCAAAAAAAAAAAAACGATTGCAACTGCCTCTTGATAGAAAAAGTTTCTCAAATTAAATACCTAGGTGTAATACTTGATCAATACATACGTTGGTCTGAGCATATTGTCCATGTTAGTAATATACTGAGAGCCCTAATGCACAAATTTTATGTTCTTCGTGATATTCTTTCAAAGAAAAATATAATGATACTTTATAACTCCCTAGTGGAATGAATCTATATTAAGGTATTGCATAGTAGCATAAGGTGGAGCATTTAACACCACTATCAAAAGTGTAGAGACAACACAAAATATTATTTTAAAAATTATCCTAAAAAAAGAGAGACTATTTTCTACAAATAATTTGTACGATGAATCGAACATACTAAACGTCAAATTACTTTTTGCTTATCAATGTATAATGAGAATATATACCAATGCTGAGAATTTTACTCAAAAAAATACCCGCTTAACACGCTCAGTCGCTAATATGGAGATTTCTGTACAATTTTTCAAAAAAATCACTTAGTCAAAGGTCATTATCATTCTTTGGCCCAACATTTTTACTTTCCTATCTGTATACAGATATAAGGAAAGTATAGGAATCATGATTTTTTTTTCGACCTCGAGTTTTCGACGGATTTTTACGTTTTGAGGTTTTTCCGATGATGTCTGTGTGTGTCGCATAACTCATGAACCGATACACAGAAAAACACCAAATTTTAAACTTAAGCTTTGTTCCAGCGTCCAATGAGCTGATTAGATTTTGGGCAGAGTCAAAACATCTGGGGGGGTACTTTATGGGAGGCCGTTTTTATATTTTATGGAATATATCTGTTATTTATGTTTGGAGAAAAAAATTGTTCAAATAAAAGTTACTTCTAATATTATTATCTATAATTTTTGCCTCATGTAAAAATTTCCTGAAATGGTCCGTATTCGAGAAATTTGACAAAATGTGCAAAATTCTGATTTTTATGAAAATTGTTAAAATAAAAGTTGTTTGCGATATCGATCTCTATAATTTTTGTTTATACATTATTTTTCTAAAATGGACCGTAATGGAAAAATTGCAGGAAAAGTGCTAAATTTAAATTATTCAGTATTTTCGTTTTCAATGAATATCTATAGAAAAATGTTTTGAGGTAGTTGTATGTGGAAAATATATATATTTAGTTTATCCTCCTCTAAACATTTATAGAGGTGCTGCAATAGGTTGTACAAAATAACCGGAAAAAGCCTGTAATAACTAGATAAGAAAGTCATGTGTTGGACACATCAGATTTTTTAACATAATTCCGATACACCTCAGGCAAATAAAACAAAAAAGTTTAAAATTGAAATAAAAAAATAATGTTACGCAGCACCCTGCAGTAGCCTGCGGCTATTATAGGAAACGTACGGATAGAAAAAGAAGTGAAATGTTACTCATCGCCCTACAGTGTGCTGCGATTGTCATAAGTAAAAGAAGATAGAATAGTCCAGAAATGTCATTACCCGTCAAGAATATTCTAGACGACAGTTCGCGAAGGGTCAAGCAAGCTATATAAGGATGATCCTGACGTCAGTTTTCAGTTTTATAATAGACGTTACACGTTAATGTTATCAGTTGCATTGTTATTGTTAAAGTTCAGTTGAAATAAATTGTGATACCAAAAACCTGCGTACCATAATAACAAATAAAAAGAAATTACGATCTAATGATAACATAGTATAAATAAAAAACACATCAAAAGCCAAAAGGCACATTCGTTTCGTCGTTTTTGCCTACTTTTCCTAAGGTACTGTCTATTTTTTATTTATCTTATTATTTATCGGTTTATTCTATCGAATTTCTTCGTCCCTTGTTCTTATTTTTAAATATTGTATCTTTTGTTAAGTGATAAATAATTATATGTATAATTCAATACCTGTCTCTAAAAAAATATATACATAAATAGAGTAATCTGATTGATCAGAAGCAAAACAGGCAGAAATGCCTAGGTTCGATGTTCAATCAGATGTCTTTTTTTAATATAACTATTTTTTTTACTATTAGGTAATGTATTTTAATATTTAAATAAATAAATTTGATTGGATTTGACATTTTTCATAAATTGACAGGCTTGGCGACTACTATTTCGAGTAAAAATAGCGTTCAAGATGGAAGAAGCCCTAGCAGCTATTGTTTGACAGGTAGCAAGTAAATTCTTCTTTTAAAGCCATTTATGTAGTGTGTTATCTATTTCACGAAACTATGACGTCAGTAATATTTTTTTAAATGAAACAATTGATATTTTATATTAAAATAATTATTCCCTTTAAATACAAATCCTAATTAATAATAATTCTAATTTTTCTCGCACAGTTTTTAAGAAAATTATACCAAATGATTTTACAGCTCCATTTATGCAATGTGTTATCTATTTCACGAAACTATGACGTCATTAATATATTTTTAAATGGATCAAATGATATTTTATATTAAAAAAAATGTCGCTTTAAATACAAATCCTAATCAATAATAATTCTAATTTTTCTCGAATAGTTCAGAAAATTATATCAAATGACTTTATAGCTTTATGAAATAAAACAAAAAATCTAAAATACGATGTAGTCACAAATACATTACAGAGTGCAAAGTGATTTATCAATGTTACCATTATTTGAATTAAATAGTTACAGATTTCATCTTCCGTTTGGCTTTAAATGATCAAAACTATATACCGAATAGAATGTTTGAAATCCTTGTAGGCAACAAGTCGACTGGCTCTATAAACGAATGCGTGAACTAAAATCATCGGTAAAGAAGGTAGACAATGGTATTACCGGCTTGTATTTTATTTCTCAATTTTCTTCGTCATTACATCAATTTGAGAATTGGTTTCAACGTAATTGTAATTGGTTTTTAATAGACTATTTGCTTGTCTCCGTAAAAAAAATATATTTTTTTGTTATAATTGTTTAAACTTTTATTTTTATTGTTTTTAAAGTTGCATTATTGATATTAGCGTCAGCAACTGCTCTGATTTATTTAAAAAAATGTCTACCAAATCTTAGGTCTTCATCTTTTACAGATTTAAAATTCAGTATGAAACATCCAGTATGATATGAGTTAGTTAGGATGAGAGTAGGTAGTAGATATATTTAGTACCCAAAATAAATTTGTTTCCACAAACAAATGATTATTAAATTAATAAGTTGGATGAAATAAGACGGCTAGAAAAAATGTTCATTACTTCAATGTGCTTGTCTGTAGATATTGTAGTTAGACGGTCTAGTCTGCAATTACAGCAAAAAAACTGCTAGTAGAAAAACGCCCTTTAAGCTTAATGATTTCAAGAATTTTTAAAATTAAGCATATTAATCGATAAGGAAATTAAACAAGGCTTCCGTAATTTTTAAAATATTGATTACTGTATAAATAATAATAATAATATACAATACGTTTAAGAATGTTTAATACTTTAATCAGATAATAAAAAAGATCACATTTCCACTTCCTCATTCACTGCATATTATATGGTGGGGGTTGATGATAAGGATTTTGATTCATTTGCTGTTGTCTCTGTAAATGGGCCACCAAAGCCGGCGAGGGTTGATTGCCCTGCGGACCACCGGCTTGTTGTTGTTGCTGCTGCTGCTGTTGTTGTTGTTGTTGTTGTTGCTGCTGCTGTTGTTGCTGAATAGCCATTATCCTCATTCTCTGTTGTTGTTGCTGAAATTGGGTTGTTTGGCTTTGGACGTTGGGCTGCATACCTTGGGCGGCTGTACGAGCATATGGCGGTGCAGGTCCTGTTTGTCCTCCCATGCCACCCATTGTGCCCATGTTGGTATTCATTGTCACGTTAGGTGCTTGTTGCATGTAGGAGGCTCGAGGGTTTTGGGTCATTTGACGGTAATCGGGTTGAGCGGGACGTGGTTGACCAAAACCTTAAAAAATAGTTAATTAAACCTACAATTTTAAATTCGTATAATGAAGACAATAAAAATACGTTTATTAAAATTAAGAACAAGAAAAATTATTGGAATTAGTGGCGACTAACAATTTGCTCAACTTAGACGGTATTAACAAAAATAAAATATGTTATATCGTTTATTTCTGTTTAAAGGCTCAGTGCCCACGTTCAGTTTACTAGACGCAAGTTTCTAATGACAGCCCGCGTCCAGTTAACTTGAGAACCCTTAAATATTAAATATACGTTTACCTATAAAAGGCGGTCTATTGGGATATATCCAGAGATAAGAGATATAACCATTCATTGATAAATAGTATATTACATTACGAGTGTGGAAAATCACTTTTCACACAAGTGATGTACAATATTTTTCCTACGACCACAAAATAATTTCATCAAAAAATGTAAAACCAGATTATTATAATAATTAAAATGTATTTAAAAAAATAATCAACAATAATCGTATTTATTCAATTTTCATAATTTCTAAACAAATAAAAAAAAAATTAAAAAACAAAAAAAAATCTGGCACAGCCAGGATTTGAACGCGGTCGCTAGACGGTCTCAAATTGTAAAGTTCACGCTCTAACCAACTGAGCTAACAGGCCTTACGGCAAATGATTGATCTAATCGCCTATGTGTTTAACCTGAATAAAAAGCAAATATATCTTAGTTATTTTAAAATTATTTTAATAATTGTTAAAGATAAATATCTAGGATCTAATTTACAACAATTTCAATAATTTAACAATCACATCGATTTTAGTATTAATATGGATATTACATAGATCAAAAAAGAAATTATGTGTTTGACATTTTCTGACAGCTGTTGCGGAAAGTAGCATATTCGTACGCGGTTGGAAAGTAAATTCTTATTCATACGCGTGTGATATAGGGCACTTTCCATAGGACTATATAGTGTGATATGTGTCACTTTCCTAAGTGGTCGTAGGAAAATATAATATTCACGATGCCAAGATTAATTCGACAATCAATCCGCTCTATTTGTAGGGTGTTACGTTGTAATCGTCACTCCCTTTTAATAATTACAATATTTAATTAGTTCAAATATTCCAATATATTCTAATACTTTTTGAGCGCCCCTCGTATTTGGAAATATAGATATTATGTTGAAACGGGAATTTGTCTCTGCCTAAGACATTTGATAGCTCAACCAATGATGCGCTCTCTCTAAAAATCAATAATTATTGTCAGATGTCGTGCGCACGCCTGGCTTACTTATGGATGGGGAATATTCACGTTTTCACACCTTCGGTCAGCTGTTGGCTTTTGAAATTTCTTTTCAATTTTGCTGCGAAATAAACCGGTTTAGTGTTGTTAATTGTGTCCGAACAACTAAGGTAACCTCGATTTTTTTTTTATAATGAAAAGTAGAAATTAATTTTATTGTGTGTATATTCTGCTGAAATTATCTTTGAGTTATCTCTTTTATTAATAGTGAGCTTTTCGCGTAATATAAATTCCAAAATGTACAAAATGGCTGCCTTTAATTTTATATTTTTTCTTCTCAGTTATTTAAAAAAATCTTTCCATTCTTCATGTGTTTTAAATTAAATACTATTGCAAATCTCTAATATTGTTGTAAATTTGAAATGTTTAATTTAAAAATGTTTAATTTAAATTGTAAGTTTTTTTGGCTGACCACATGTGTTGTTTTTTTTTTGTTGTAACTGACACGTTTTTTCTTTCTTAAAAATAAGGAACTGGCTCTGGATCTGTAACAAACTAAGGATCTGGATCTGTAATAAACTAAGGAATTGTCCTTTGTAATCTGGAACTGCAGAATCATTGTCAGCTAGTTGCCACTAGAGCTGCGGAATATCTTGGGCTGAGTTGCGTAAGGAACTGCAGTGTTTTGAAGTCATCGTAGGCTCACCGCTCACCTACCATTAAGACACGGACCAGACTAGTTCGACCGTTAAATCCGGAAACATAAGATAAGTGTCGTCCAGGACCACACACACAATTTTGAGTCACTAGTCAATTTTAATTTTAAATTCATCATTAGTAAAACGTAAAATGTGTTAAAATCAATTCATTTAATTTTCTTTTATATTATGTAATCAGTCTGTCAAATTCGAAATTTAAATTAAAGCCGATTAATTGTTTTGAAATTTTAGTTTTTTTTCTTACTTTCAACTGACAAGTTAATGACAAATTTGCTTTTATTGTACATCTAAAGGTATGGCGCCCAAATTAATTTAATTGAATTCTTTTAAGTCTTTTTAATTAAAGACTTTGTCATTGACTTGAAGGTAAATTCTAAACGAATCCCACTGACCTATTTTGATCTGAGCTAGGCCTGAGGCTTGTAAGAATTCTTATTATAAGGATTTTTACAATGAGACCCAGGTAAGGGTTAGAAACGTATCATCTGGTGCAAAATATGTTTTTTTCTACACCCGTATTATAATAATGCACTTATATGCCCATAATCCGTTTCATAATGATACCCATTATGATACAGATTTTTCATTACGATACAGATTTTTCATTACGATACAGATTTTTCATTACGATACAGATTTTTAATCAATAGAAACCTACAATTTTTCAATCAAGCATGCTGTTTGACGTTTGTCCTAGGTTCCTATGTATTTGTTTTAGTTGTCAAAACGTATTAAATTTTGGTAGATAACTAAACTTCGTTAATTATAATATTAAAATGTCTGATATCAGCGATATAGAAGACTCCTCCACACATATCGGAGGAAGCAGAAAATACAGTACAAAATATTTTGCCGCAAAAATCTAGGGAAATACCAATACCCGAAGTAATACCATTAATTACAATTTTGTAGAATTTTTTATAGAAATACACGAGTAATTATTCTTATTGTGTTCAATACCAATATGAATATAATATTTATAGTTCTTGATTATTTATCGGGTGTAGAAAAAATAGCGTATGCAACTCTCATGTAATGGTTATTAATACACTCGCATAAACCATACGAAACTCGCCTTTGGCTCGTTTCGTATCCCGGTTAATGCTCGTGTATTAATAACCATCATTACATGATCGTTGCATAATATACTATTATAAAACGTTTATTAGTAAAAAGTAACATTTTTTATAAAACATTTAACTATATATTTTTGAAACGTAACAAGGGACGCGGCGAGGAGACGAATGGTTTTTAAACGTTAATTTATTTTTAGATATCACTCCTAAATTTTTAACCTCGTTAACTTCGTTCAACAAAGTATTATTAACAGTATATGAAAAAAATCTATTGCATGGTTGTTTTGAGTGAAAGTTATCTTACAGCATTCTTTTACATTTAAGTGTAACATATTTATGACGCACCATCTAGCAAGATTAATAATATCGTACATAATAATAAAGTACCTACTGATTAAATTATTTTTTTAAACAGTTTTTCTAAATTTGAAAGTAATAAAATAAAAAATATAAAATAAGAGTTTGAAATGTAATGATTTATTTGTTTACCCTACATGTCTTTTCTTTTAAACTTACCTGGTTGTTGACCAGCAAACATATTGCTCTGCGCTCCTTGCATCATCTGCTGATTACTCTGCATATTGCCTTGCATCATAGTCTGGGGATTTCCACCATAATTACTATACTGCTGTCCCATACTACCTTGCATGTTGCTGTATTGTTGAGGAAACATTCCCTAATAAAATAAAAACCGTCTATGAGGGTAAACTAATTTGAATAGAATAAGCAGTTGGGACATGTTCAAAAATTTAGAAATTTTTTTTTAGAATAATACAGTTTAAAATAAAGTTACTTTTAATTTTTTTATATCTTCTTTACTTTAAAAACTTTTGGCTATTCTAACAAACTGATTATTTAGAATAACTTGTATAGTGACTAACTATTACAATATAATTTATAAAACAGCATATCTCACATCTGAACATGGCCCATTCATAATATAAAAACATTACTGGTCTTATATTAAACATTCTTAAATTTTTGTAAGTAAATTTACCTTCAATTTTGTAAATCGCCAAATTGTGATGCAAATTAGTGATTGACTTATTTATTTCTTGTATTAAAAAAAAAATACCTGATTTGGTTGAATAGTATTTGGATGAGGTTGCCGCATAGGTTGTCTCGGAAAGCCTCTCTGCATTTGTGCATAATTTCCAGGCTGCTGTTGAGGTGCTCCAGGGTTATTCTGCATACCGGGAATATAAGTATTAAGTGGGTGTCTTGATCGTAACATGTTCGAGAGAGCTTGCTTTGACTGGTTAATTTGCTGAGGTGGACGTTCAAATCTGTTAACTAAAATGGATAAAATGAAATTAATAGAATTGTCAAGTCAAACGCATATTGGTGATGACTTTTATGGGCTTACCTGGCATAGGAGGGTAATATCCTGGTTGAGGATTCTGGCCGTACCAATTCTGTTGTCCCGAATTACTCACATACTGTTGGCCTTGAGGTTGCATACCAGGAGATTGGGCGTACGCACCCATATTATGTCCCATTTGAGCGTTGTTACCCTGGACTTGTATAGACATTCCAGGTTGAGTTTGACCCATGGGAGACTGCATGGCCATGGGGGTGACATGCATTGGTCCTGGAACACTTTTAGGTTTTCTGGGTTTCCTCTGACCTTTCCCACGACCTTTTCCAACTGCTCCAGCTGGGGATTGATCGACTGATGTTGGAGTGTCAGCTTGCAGAAACTTAAAAAATTATTTGTAATTAGACATTATCAATTTATTTTGTGAGTCAAATTAATTAACAATCAGAGGATTCAAAGATTAGGTATACTATCCTGTTCAGATAGCTGCAGCTTAAATGTTAAACGTCTGATTTAGAATATAAATATTACTTTTGCGTGGATACCTAGTCATACGAATATAAAGGGAAATGTCATAGCTGATAAACTTGCTAAATTAGGACTCAACAAACATTATTCTGACGAAATGATAATGGAAAAGCAGCTTATCTGCCTTTTGGCAAATTATTTTTAATATATTGTACTATTTTTATTTTGTAATCTTCACATGCCAATAAAATCATATTTATTTATTTATTATTATAGAAATTTGCTACCCAGAGTTAAAAATAAAATTTGGGATGATTGGAGTAAAGAATGCCGAGAACTGAGTCAAACTAAAGGAAAGCTTTTTTTTTAATATACTAGACAATCTACCTCGGTGTTTTAAAATTAAATTAACAAAGGGACAAATCGGTACCATGTGCAGAACGAAAATTGGTCACTGCTATAGTTATTCTTATCTGTTAGTATCCTTGTTTCCCCAAGTTGCAGCTGTGGTGAAATTGAAAGTTTAGGTCATATTTTAATGGAATGCAGTAATTATACAGAAAATACCAAAAAAATGGTTTCAGCTTTTCGACCCCAGTATTTTCTTTTATGTTTAAGATAGTTCACTCGCGACAGTCGTACACAAAAATAACGCCAAAAGTTCGAGATTCTCAATGATAAAGAATGTTATTTTTGTAAGACACTCTACCCAACACATGTAAGCTTATATATACGGATACGTTATTATTTCAAGTAAAATCCATCCGACGACGCGCGACGTCGGAAATATATGAATGGTGAGTGTGTATATCTATAAAAATTTGTGACTTCCTCATACTAATCTTAAAGTTTTGTTTTGGCTCAATTCCAGTTATTAAATACAGTCGACGAATTAATTTTTCAAGAACACGTCGCGAGGTTATAACAACCTCTTAGTTGATCGAGTGTAATTCAGTGATTCTGAACTAGTTTCCGCCCGTTAAAAGTAGCGATTACAATGTTGCCAAGCTGTAGTCATTGTACCCCACTACGCGCTGACTGCTTTAAAAATATTTTTATTTTAAAAATCTATATCTTTTTACCAAAACGGTCAAAAAATTCTTCTTGATATACATTACATTGGTTTTTAAAAAATATAGTAAGAACCGTTTTTGAGATATCTTGAAATAAATTTCATTGCTTGTGTACGTGACAGGCTTCAAGAGTGTTAATTATGGACATTTTGATTATTAATATATCTTTTCAAAGACGGTCAAAAAATTTAATTTTTTTTTAGTTACGTAAAGCACTTTCATTAACCTTATATTTCAATTTTATTGAATTCTTAAGAAAAGCCGCTTTACAAGTGAACTACCTTAAATTATTATTTAAGAAAGCCAAATTGCAGTGCAGTCATAATCACGTCATTTTTAAAATCTTCTATCATTAAATTTTAAAAAATATGATTCACCTTTTTTTAATTTTACAGAGCCAAATAGTGTTTTAAATTTTATATTTGTCAAACATACAAGTAGCGACATCTATTCGCATAATGGCAAATCAGTTTTTTTGGTTAGTTTATTTTTATAGAGGTTGGTTAACCTGTCTATCATAAGTGTCAATCAAGATATATATGCACATACTTTGATTTTCATTTACTATACGGAGAATGGTCGCACTGCGCAGCTTTCTGAGTGCCTTTTAAAAGGAGATAGAAAACTCCGCCATTTTGAACCCTTATTACGTGTTGCCTACATCTTGGCGCAATATTTTTAATAGGTGCGTTTTAATCATCCGCTTCTGCTTCGGAATTGTCGGTTTTCTTGTTTTAATCTGACAGGTTAAAACGACTAAACCGACAATTCCGGAAGCAGAAGCGGATGATTAAAACGCACCTGATATTTTGCTTGCTGCTGTCAGTGTCAGTGAATATTATTTTTGAAGTCACAGTTTATTGCTAAAGAATCAGTTAGCTCACTCGGACCAGTTGAAAGTTCCAAAATAACATCCACTCCAGGGATACAAATTCAGGATACGCAGAAGACTGCTGTTTTATTATAGGCGGTTGTCATATATTGTATTATCCGAGTTGCACAGTGTATAAACTGAAACATTGAGATCAAAAGTGCCGACGCAGAGTGAGCGATCTGATTCTTTAGCTGTAAACTGTGTCACAGGGTTCAAAATGGCCGCGCCCTATGTTGGGCGTGTCGGACCTCTCTCTTGCCTCGTATAGTAATCAAAGTATGTGTATATATGTCATAAGTCTTTGAGTGTGAAATAATTTGTAAAAAGTTACTCGAATAAATTAAAATAAAACATAAGTATAAAGTCTTTTTCGATTCTATACCTCCACTGCGACACTAAAATTACTAGAGGTTATGGGCCCAGACCCATGCATAAAAACGTATAGCAAAAATAAAAAAAGTGAGGTTAGAATCTTGGTGAGGCGTGTGTAAAAATCGGCGCGTAAAAAAACTAAAATGATAAAAAATGACATCTACAGACACCATTAGAGCCCTAAAACTTACTGGCTTAGACAATTGGCAAGTTTGGAAATTTCAAACGACTATAATGCTAAAAGGTCGAGGTCTTTTCAATGTGGTTGATGGAATTGTAATAAAACCTACGACTGGGGATGAAGCAATAGCAACTTGGACAAAAAATGATGCAAAAGCCCAAGAACTATTGGTAACGAGAATGGAAGAAGGCCCAATTACACATATATTGTCTTGTGAGTCATCAAAAGACATGTGGACAAAACTCAAAACAATTTATGACAAAGAACCAGAAGTAAGCATACATCTCCTAGAGCAAAGATTTTTTATGCTAGAATTTGAATCGTCAGTAGCTACATTTATTTCAAAAATAGAAGACGTTAAAAATAAGCTAAGAACATGTGGTGAAACACTATCTGATAAGATGATAATAACAAAAATTCTTATGTCCCTACCTATTGAATATAAACATTTCATATCAGCCTGGGAATCTGTCGACACAGAGAAACAAACATTAAAAGAGCTAACTACACGCCTTCTATTAGAGGAATAGAGGTACAAGTCCGTAGATGAAGCAGGTGCATTAACAGTTAGAGAAGAAAGGCATAAAACAAACAAAAAATGTAATATTTGCAAAAAGGTGGGGCACTTAGCCAAAAATTGCTATTTTAGAAATAAAACCACTGAAGATAATAAAAACATGAACCAAGGAAGAAGCTCACGATATTGTAGTCATTGCAAAAAGTCAGGACATGACCTAAAATACTGTTGATTCAAAAATAAAAACCAGAATTCACATAAAAATGAGAAAAAAGAGAGTGAAGATGAAAATGGTTTTATGGTATATACTGAAAGCTTAAGAATAGATGACTGGTGTTTTGATTCTGGAGCATCAGAGCATATGAGCTGGAATAAAAATTTGTTTGAAAGCTTAAATAAAATAAAAACGAGAAAAATGGTGCAAGTTGGAAATGGACAAAAGCTGGAGGTGAAAGGAATGGGAAAAATAGTATTATGGGCTTATAATGGTCAAAAATTAATTAAAACTACCCTATCAGATGTTCTCTATGTACCAGAGCTAAAATTTAACCTATTTTCAGCAGGCTGTGCTTTAGATAAGGGATATTTTTTGAGATCAGATAAAGAAAAATGTGAATTCACTGACAAAGATGGACAAATAAGGGCAACAGCCATAAGAGAAAATAAGATTTATAAAATGTGCTTTGTTAAAAATTATAATGAAAATTACACTGAAAAAGGTACATTCTAAATGAAACGGAGGTCGATGAACTTGAAGAAGGTTTAATCTCAGAATGTATGAATGTAAAAACCATAGGAAGCATTCAAGAATGGCATTGCAAGCTGGCACACAAAAATTTTAAGTATGTTCAAGATTTTTTGAAGAGAAACAAAATTGAATATCTAGAAATAAACAAAGACTTTATATGTGAACAATGTTTAGCTGGAAAACAGCATCGCTTGACGTTTCAAAATAGCAAATCAAGAGCTACAGCCCCACTAGAATTAGTTCATGCAGATGTGTGTGGCCCCATGGAAACAAAATCCTTGGGTGGAGCACGCTATTTTCTTCTTCTAAAAGATGATTTTTCCTCATATAAAAAAATATATTTTATGAAAAATAAATCTGAGGTAAAAAAGAATCTAGAAAAGTTTATTCCCTTCTCAGAACGAGAAACAGGCCATAAAATGAGAATTTTAAGAACAGACAACGGCCTTGAATTCGTCAACTCAGAAATAAGAGAAATGTTGGAGCAAAAAGGCATAAAACATCAAAGAACAGCGGTGTACACACCAGAACAAAATGGGAGGGCTGAACGTGAGAACAGAACATTAATAGAAGCAGCAAGAAGTATGCTAAATGGAGAAGAAAAGTATAGTAAGATTTTCTGGGCAGAAGCCTTAAATACAGCTGCTTTTACACTTAATAGAACAGGTCCAAGTCCTCAAAAGTCTAAAACTCCTTTCGAATTATGGTATAAAAAGGAGAGTGACATACACATTTATAAAATATTCGGCACTAAAGTATCAGTGCATGTCCCAAAAGAGAAAAGACTAAAATGGGATGCAACAAATTTAACAGGAATGTTTGTAGGATATGGAGAAGATATAAAAGGGTACCGAATCTTTTTTCCAAAAAAACAGAAATTAGAAGTACACAGAGATGTCATATTTTTGCCTGAGAAAAATAAAATTACAAAAAACCAGATAAAATAATCCTGCAAGACACTGAAGAAAATGATCTAAACGATGAGCCAGAGATACAAAATGAAGAAAGAGATGAAGTCTTAAATAACTCGGAAAATAATGAGATTTTAGAAAATAATGAGAACTTAGATCAAAGTTCAGATTATGAAGATACCTCATCTCTGGACTCTGAAATAAAACCAAACAAAAATGTTAAAGACAAATGGATGTG